CAACCCATCCAAAGCGACCTTTAACAGAGTCTGCGTCCGTAGATGATTCATCAATGACTTTCGGAAGAGCAATTTTATCCAAAAGGGCTCTATTGAACTGGAGGGTTGCGGCGTTGGTTGGTGGTGCCCGCGCCAGGTTCTGCCGCATCTGCTCAGCCAATCGTCCGATTTCATCATCGTCTGCCCTGTTCTCCTGCTTCACCGAGGACGCGGGAGCATTTGTGTTCGCCATATTCCTTGCAGATGGCCTCAAACCTAAAAAAAAAGGAGAGAAAATCTGGAGCGTTAATGAAAGCACTGACTTCTAATAGGAAATGTGCCGATGCTTAAAACAGAAGCCCCAGATATTTTCGTGGATATAACGCAAGATCGAAGTACATGTACAGTACCATTTATTCCCATGGCAACAGCCACAGAAAACGAGTAGCATTAACCACTCCCAACCTCCTACAAAATTGACTTAAAGTACGCATGATTCGTGCATCAGTAGGTGTTCCTTTCACGGTAACGGCTAATAATTAATTTAGACTACCTCAACACCAACATCTCCCCTTTTAAAATGCATTTCGCATTCATGAAGGTCTTCTAAAAATAACGAGAATCATCAACAAAGTTTCAAGATCATATAAAACCAGACGTTCATTTCTGGCAAATCTTCCGATTCATAAAAAAATACGTGCACAGCCTAATCCCACCTAGAACAGATCAGAATTGAATCCATACAGAAATACAAATTTCAACCGGCGAGGAAAGGATGAAAAACTTGGGAGAAATCCTAATACAGTAGAATTCCGTTACAACAAATTTTTTGCTATAACAAATTTTTTCATTGGTCTCAGCAGTTTGCCTTATGCACAGTGTTATAAAAATCTTGTTTTAATGAATTTTTTCACAGAATCTCCGGTTATAACAAATTTTTTATGAGATTTTTGAAATTTTTCACAAAATTTACAAATTTTTCAACCAGATTTTCAAATTTTTTCATCAAAATTTCAAATTTCTTGTCCCAATTTTAACATGTGTTGCCAATTTTCAGGGACACAAAGGAGTCCCTGATTTTTGTACAATACTGCTTTCCTGTGACACATCATCACTAGAGGATGATGGACAGGAAATTTGTCTGCCTCAGCCCAATTACGCGCTGAAAAACAGGAAGCAAAAAATCAGTTACATTTCCTGACTGGCAGGAAGCCCATAAAATAAATGTATCCTGATAAATGTATCAACCAAGCCTCAGGAGGCTGGAAGCACAGAGCCACCTTGGAGCTTGGGAATCCAAGAGCAATCAGAATCAGTGAAAATCCTTGCTTTTTAGTCCGGGTATGTCATTTTTTTTCTAATCTTAAAAGGCAGAAGTTTAGATGAGGTGACCTGACTGCAAGATTTGTGTAAAACAATGGCCCTATCAGTGTACAGTTGAATACTGTGTGACACCAGCAATACTTTTTTATGAGTGTAACATTGCACAGCCTTTTTTACTGTGCAACATAGGGGCTGTAATGTTGCACAGTAATCACTGTGCAACTTTGCAGCCCTCAAGCCATACAGTGTATTTATTGCTGCGCAATGTTTGCCTGCACAGAATGTCAGTGAAAAGATCATGTACAGTGGCCCCCTGCCTAATGGACTTAATTTGTGCAACGGATTAGTCCTTTGGGTGAAAATTCTGTTGGGCAAGTTCAATTTTGTCATAGCTTTACATGTTGAAAATCTTTAATGTGGTTTTAGTTCAAGGTTTCTAAAATGAGAGAGGCCAGAGATTTCTACCAGATGGGAAATGCAGAGTTTCTTTTAGATGGGAAGTGTAAAGTTCTTGCAAGAAGGAATATGAGAAGTTTCAAGGAGACACACCTTGAGTTTCTACAAGGAAGGGATATGCAAAGTTTCTACAAGAAGAGATATGTGAAGTTTCTACCAGAAGAGAGACCAGAAGTTTCTACAGTAAGAAGGGATATTAAGTTTCTACAAGAAGGGATTTGTGAAGTTTCTACAAGAAGGGATTTGTGATGTTCTTACACAAAGGGGCATGTGTAATTTCTACAAACAGAGATATGCTGAGCAGTTTCTACCAGAAGATAAGACTGAAGTTTCTACAAAATGGCATATCAAGTTTCTACAAGAAAGGATGATTTGTGAAATTTCTATCAGAAGAGAGGCCTGACGTTTATGCAACAGGAAAATCAGGAAAAAACTTGGAAACACAGTTATTCTTGAACAGAATCAACCCTGAGCTTCATATTTCTGTAACAAAATCAAGTAATCTCATTCCAACAAATTTTTTGTAATAATGAATTTTTTCTCTGGTCCCCAGCAGTTTGTTGTAACAAGATTTTACTGTAATACACTACAGTTTTCTATAAATAATTCTTCAGGTCAAGCTGGCAGCTTACCCAGTAATTTTTTTTTAATACATCAAGATGGAAAATTTTGCATTAAAAATCAATGAATATTGTTTTAGAATTTAAAAATAAAATGTGAATGATGATGGAAAGTTTTGCATTTCACAATTGCTTCTAAATTATGCTGAAAATTGTAGAGAGGATTTTCCTACTGATGAGCACACATGGAAACTTGTATTGAAAAAGTGTTCACTGGTGATGGAGCTGTTGTTAGACACCTGTAAAACGGTGAGTAGAAAAATGTGATTGAAAGATATCAAGAAACGGAATTTTGGTTCTTCCAACACATTTACAATACAGATCCCTCAAATACAGTAATTTCCAATACTGTAGAAACGTATCTGAATTATATTCAATTCTAAGAAGATTTTTCTTAAAAATGCGACTAGTTTTCATCCGCCTGCAATTTAAACTTGGAGGTTTTTTTTAGGACTTGAGGTTTAGAAAAATACACCAAGTGCTGGTTTCATTAACTTGTTGTTTTTAATTACCTGTATACAACTTCAAGAAGAACACGCAAAAACGGACAGGGATTTTCAATTAGCAACCCCCCCCCCCCCCCAACCCTTAAAAACCCAATTTTGAACTAGTTCGTAATCCTGTACTGCATACATTTCGGAAATACATTAAGTGCTTTTTTTACATTAGCAATTTCCCCCCCCCCCCCCAACCCTTAAAAACCCAATTTTGAACTAGTTTGTAATCCTGTACTGCATACATTTCGGAAATACATTAAGTGCTTTTTTTTTACAGACATTTTCAACATTTTTATTGCACCCAAAAGAAAACAGTCGTACAACGTGCAATATTTCAATCAACTATTGTACATCGCATTTCACTTCCCAGGTTCCTCACTAGAGGAGACACTTTCAGACCTCTTCAAGTTAAGCTAAACGAAAGGGACGCAGAAATATTCGATGAAGATTTTTCGCATTACGAAAACCAGCATTTTTTTTGTGGTGCTGGGGAAAGAATTAAAGGAGGATAAAATTGGTGATATTCTGGACATTAAACTGCTGGGTAACTGAGTTGACAGGATGCCGAACTTGGGAGACAAAGGTAAATTCGCCCGACACATTTTATTGCTCTTCTCCTTTCCGGGTCCGCACATTAAACACTTGAAGCCTCAAGAAATCCGAGTTATAGCGGTTTAAAGAGGAAGTCTCTCAGTTAGGAAGGTCTATTAAATCGTTCTTAATGGATTTCTAATATGAATTAAACAAAATTTGTCAGAGAATTTGCTCATTTGATGAGTCCAAATTTAGTTAAAATAAAGCTCCCGACTCCACCATATCCAAGACTGATACGTTCTCGTAATTTTTTTTTTTCGATGAATAGTCCAGAAAAAATGCGCAATGAACCTTATAATTTTTCGAGAAATTAATTACTGTGATTACTTTCGTCTCCACCTCACTCGTCAGATCTGGCTACTCGGAACTTTTTCTACGTCGTGAAGTCATCATTAAACCGAGTGGCGGTTTCGGAGGCACACAAAATCTAATTCCCAAAGGCAGCCACGTCTGAAAGGAGTTTTTAAAAGAAAAGTTTATGCAATGAATAATTAGTTTGAAAAGATAAATCTAAAGATATTAATGAATCATGACAAGATTTAGGGAGAACAACGCATATGCTTCTCTGAAAGATCCCTCTTTTCTCTCCCCACGATTTTTCAGATATTGCGGCAAAGATGAAAATAATTCGAACTACAGTACTGTATCCCTTGAACACATGACAAGTTATCCTTTGAAAGGACAAGAAAGGTCGTCAACCCGGGTCTGCGAACTATAGGCCACAAAACATCGACTTTGGCTAAGATACAACTTTGATGAAAACGCTATGTTATACCTTCATACAATACGTTACTGAACAGAAATCAGTTCAGCATCGATTGCATTCCTGCAGAGTATTACTCCAAGTTTTTCAATGGAATTCGAATACGATGGCCACGAACAATTTTTTGGCCAGCCTGTACAGAAGTTTTTCGGGGAAACATTAATTTGAAAAAGAATGGTCGAAAAGATTAATTCGGAAGTTTTCCCGTCCAAGCTACTCATGCCATTTGGCACAGACTTCACGGTAAAATTGCGGGAGAACAGTATGAAAAGAATCCGCTCCTTTTCTAAAACACAGATGGAAAGATTTTTCGAATATTCTCGCTCTCTCGAACGAAGCAGTCGGGAGAGAGAGAGAGAAAGATGAACATTCATTTTGCTAATGAAAATAAAAATCGCTCTTGAGGTCGTGCCACGAGGTCATCACTGAATCAAATAATGAAAACAAGCAAGAAAATCGACCCGGGGAAAAAATAAAGTTCCAAAGGAAAGAGATTTTTCTTTCATGTCCGAGCTTTGGACATTCCTTCCCAATTTACTGTCGCCAGGAAAATATTTTTTCAACAAACAATGGAAATGCTTTAAAAATCCGCGAAATAAAATTTCAGGGGACTCAAGGTTGTCCTGTTTTCGAATCGAAAAAGGATGATAAACAATACGCTTTCAAATGGCTCCGCCTTAATTGCCTCATAGAAATGCTGTTCTTCATGACGGCTTCTTCGACAAAACTGAACGCTGTCCAGACGGGCGACCATCTTTCAAAATAATGAATGCTACAACACATAGAATAAGGAAAATAAATGAATGAATGAACACACATGCAGACCTTGAAACAAAAACTTTGTTAACTCTCTCTCTCTCTCTCTCTCTCTCTCTCTCTCTTCCAAGGCGGTACGAGGGTGAACTTCTCCGGCTTGGGTTTCATTCCCTTCTCGCACTGTACTGTACTGTATACTGAACAGAATAACCATCCTTTCCCCTTGACGTTTTCCTCCTGTTTCAGGACTTATTTTTTCTGCAACCC